ATATCCGGTTGTTTAAGTTAAAATATAGTTAAGTTTGACCAAAAATAAAATCTTTCATTTTAGTAAAGCTGGACAATAATTATGGGACGGAGGGAGTATTATATTATTTATTTGTTTTAAAATTTAACCAACACCCATCGAAATCCTGATGAGTGAGTGATGAAGTGTGTACAAGTATTATGTAGGATATCTTTTTACTTGTTTAATAATGCGATGAGAATATCGTAAATAAGACCTTTCCGCTCTGGCATACAATTTGTAATTACTATTTGTACTTTCTCTTTTAGAAAAATAATTTACATTGTTTAACTTAATCAGCATAACAAAATGAATTATTTTATATTTTTTAATGAGACATAAGGAGTATTATTATAATCGTGTTCTTCTTTTCGTTCTCCGTGTACGAAGAAAGGGAAATACATGCGTTTTCTGAAGTTGGATGATGTATAATAGATGTATGTGGAGATATGCAACTCGGAGAAGGGAGATATGTAACATTTAATTAATAGATTTTATACCAATGGAGATCGTGTTCATATCACAGATTATTTGACAGCCCAACTTCTGCCATTTGGCTTGTTGATATGTACAAGCATCACGAAAAAGTGCCACAAATCATTAATTAAGAACACATTACAGCCATAATAATTCTCATTCAACGATTGAATAATTTTTTTCGAAAGAAAAATATATTCTAGGAGTAATTATTTTTTGATATAAAATTCAGGGTAAAGCTAAGGTCCCGTCATTAATTTTGAGGGTATGATCCCGTTATTTAATTAATAGCCGTTAAATTATTCTAAAGTAATCACCGCCGTAGAATTTTCATTAAAGAAATAGATAAATAAAAAAAAAACTATTGTACAGGCAAACGGTAACAAAAAGATGAGTATTTATGGTATATCATTTCATTGAGAATCTTCTCCTTACTCTGAAGTTATAATACATTTTTTTTCTCCCATCTCTCTTATTATTATTTTTTTAGTCTCTCTCGCTGGATTTTTTTTTCCTATTGAAAAGCGACATTTTCTCAATAAAAGAAAATTTTTAAAAAAAAAATTAGAAGCTACATAGTCCTTTTTTGTTCAATCGCAAACAATAACTCATCAAGAAATTATACTTTTTCATATTTTATTTTTAAATTATTGCATAATCAAATTTGGCAACTTCCCTAGCTCAATTTACGTGAGCAATGTATGCGCTTTCCTTTTTTTTTTTTTATCATGTGATGTGCTTGAACATTTTTCTTTTTTATTACTATTAACATATATTGTTTCTTTAATATTCTTTGTTTTGTAACGACGGGCACAATACTTTTTATCTATAGTGCAAAAATAAATTATACTGAGAATGCGATGCATTATAACAAAAGGTACAATTCTTAGTTATGTAGTGTACAATACTTTTTTTATAATGTGTAATGCTTATGTATCTATTATTATACTAAAATTGATACTAATTGTTCAAAAAATAAATAGAAGAGGCCATAGTTTTTTATGAGGTGTGCAATTATATAGCAATCTATGTGCAAAGTGTAATTTTTAATAAGTAAATGTTCAATCAATAAACTTAATTGCAAAATGTAGTAAGTTTTGGTAAAATGCAATTATTTGTAAGTGAAAGTGCAATATAATTTTCTTGAATGTGTAATAGCTTGCTGATCAAAGATACAATCAATAAAATTAATTAAGAATTATGTTCAATCAATAAATTAATTGCTTACAAGTAAACATATTTATTTTTTTCTTGATATACAATGCTTGTATCATTATTATCATATTAAGAAAAAATAAAATGGAGAATACATGCCATTACTAAAATTTGATGATAATAATTTTAAATGGATATTTTAATCTTTATCCATACTATTCGTATATATTTGACCTTAGGTGTTGAAGTTTAAACAGTGTCACTCTTCCAAAAATGACACTCGTAGTAGTTGGTTTAAAAATATATAATTTGAAAGTAAAAAATTCACAGGAAAGGTTATTCAATATTCGCATAGACACTATAATGACCAGTGATCACCTAGGGCAACATTCTTACATTAGCTCATAGACCAAAACTGAATCCCAAGCACTTAGGGAAACATCGATTGGGCAATTAAAATTAATTTTTTTTTAATTTTCTTTTAAAACAAGCACTTAGTGCTCTTTTATATATGGCTCATGGACATGAACTAGTACAACTATATATCCAGCGAACAAATAACGAGGCAGGAGCGGAGGTGCAATTTAAAATAAGAGGTGGTGCAATTGTGTAAAAAAAATAACTTATATAAGAGGTGGTTTAATTCTTTTTAAGGTTTGTGCAATCATGTATTATTATACTATTTTATTACATGTGAAATAACGTACACACAAAATTTGTCGTGTTTAAAAATATATTATTATGCTAAAAAATTTCAAAAAAGTTGCAAATAAAATTCTATTACTCAAAATGATACGTTAATATTCGCTCAATAATGCTTATAAGAAAATTCTAAATAAATTAAATTACTAAATAAAACTTATATAAGAAATGGTGCAATGTTTTTTAAGCCAATATGCAATTATGTATAAATATAAGTGCAATTTCTAATGTGCAAATGCACAATCACAAGTAGCTTTTTTTTTGTAATGTTAAAACAAAAATAAGAAAGTTTAATTAAGGATTATGGAAAGGTTTAGTTTAATGCAATTGTTGAAAAGTGAATGTGCAATATATTTTACTTAATGTGCAATTGCATCCTCAAAAGTGCAATGCTTGGATATCTAATTACCTAACTATAAAAATGAAAGAAAATAAACTATGGTGCAGTTAATTATTAATGAATACGTGCATTATCTTATAAACTAATGTGCAATTATATATAAGTATTTGTGCAAGACATACAATGAAAAAAGGAAAATTAATTATTAATTAATGATGATTTCTTATTTTAAACATTGAAACTTTCCTAAATTATTTCGTTTTTTAAATTTTGGTAAGTTTACTTGCATAGCAGATCATAAAAAAATTTAAAAATTAGGAAACTTCAATATTATATTGATATGTCATTTTCTTATTGGTTAAATTTTAACGGGACCAAACCCTTAAAATAGGCAACGAGACCCTAAAATTTTTTTAAAAGTCAATATATATGGACAGGTTTAAAAAGGAACCAGATCAAGCTAATTTTGTTCAATAAAGTAGTTTTTTCCCCCTTCTGAGACGCTTCTGACTTGTCCAAGTAAAATGGCGTAGGCTTATTTTCTTTCTCTAAAAACTTGGCCCCTTTTTTTTTTTTTTTGCTCAAAATGGTGTAGTCACACATATAGTTGTAAATTTACACAATTATACGACAAGAATAACTAACCCCAATGATGTCGTGTGATACAGCTAACCTACAAATCTTGGAGGGGGGAATCCAGTCAGAGCAAACCTCTGGGATTCGACCCTGCCAGTGTGACGCCAAAAAATCAGCCGTGCCATTACATTCTCTATTGACGTGGCTAAGTGTAACTACCCTAAAAACTTGGCCCTTTCTTTTCTCCGATTACATCCGCTTTTCACCCCTACAAATGGTGAGAAGATTATGGAAATTAATTTATAAGTTCATGTCACATCGTGCAATTATGAACTTCGACTATTTTTTATTAATGATTTTAGTTACATTTTCAGCGGATGCATATCTTGACAAATCTTGAAGTTGGGGTTTTCGAGGTGATCAATCCTGATTTATCGATCACTTTGATTCATATTTTAGGTTCCGCATTTCACCTAGCGCAATTACGGCATTATTGTTTGATGAATCATTATTAGATTCAAAGTTACTTACGGGTTAATGATTTAATGACATTTTTAATTCAAGACTAATTAAAGTTTGCTATGTTGCATTAAAAGGGAGAGCCGGGGGAAAAGAAAAGGAGCATTATTAACTAAATCCCTTTAGTAAATCCCTGTCGGTAATAATTTGTCGTAATTAGGATGATAATTTAAACGAAAATAGGACTGTGTTGAGTGTTGACCGTTAGATCATGTCGACATTATAGGTGTCTGTCACCCTGTAGTGTTATAATCTTTTTTTTTTTTTTGAGAAAAAATGTAGTGTTATAATCTTTTTAAAAAAAACTAATAGTGTCATAATCTAATTCTATAATATTTATCCTCTTATATTGTACACAAAAAATTCCTTCAATCATTACTCTAAAGAAGAATTATTCCTTCTTCGCTGTCACCTCATATTTAGTTGAAGAGTTACATCCGCCGATCCACAGTTCATTTTTTCCATTTATTTTCTACCCTCGTGTAGTGATTATATTCTGTTAGTATCTTCAAAAAAAAAAAAAAAAAAGGAAAAAAAAATCTGTTACTAGTAGGCAGAACATATTCACAGTCAACTACAGTACAACTTCTATAAATTAATAGTGTTGGAATCACTAAAATTTATTAATTTAGTGAATTATTAAATAATCGATAAATTAAAGAATTTGTGTGAGAAAAAAATAACCGTCACTAAATTACTTAATTTGCAATTATTTTTACATCTGAATCAATCAAGTATTAAAACTATTTTGAACATTAAAAATCCATACATAGTTCATATCATCTTCAGGGATTAAAAAATAAGTATTAATAGTTCATATTTTATTAAATACTTATATTAATTATTATTTTTTTTTTTTTAGGATATTTATTAATTTATGGTATTGTTGGGATCTGTAGATATATAGAAGATTTTCTGAAACATAATTATCTTATCATTTTATTGATTTTTTCACTTTTTCTACTGGTCCCAACTTGGTCCCAACCCCCAAGTTGAGACGGAGAAAATTATTAATTTTTAGAAGTTATTAATTTATAGATTATTAATTTATCGACGTTCTACTGTAATTGGTAAAATGATTCGTTTCCAAACTGGCTTTATATTATTAGGGGAAAAAATGGTTAAAAAATTCTGTGAAACGTTATTATTCGAAGTTCACAAATTGATAACGATTCCCTCCTGAGCTGGCTTCACATGAGTCTCCATGTGGCCTCTAGAATTCATTTTTTCCTATGTTTAAAAATTCTGCTTGAAATCCCTCAAAAGAAGGGGAAAACAGAGATACAAAACAAGCAAAAGAGATGGAAGCTAAGATAGAAATAATTTCAAGGGAGTTTATCAAACCTTCATCTCCAACTCCACAAGATAGTAAAGAGCAGAAACTTTCATTGCTGGATCAATGCACTCCACAAGTATACATGCGTCTCCTTTTCTTCTACCAAAATCAGCCAAAAGTTTTAGATCCAACCAAAACAGCCCTGAATCTAAAGCAGTCTTTGTCAGAGTGTTTAACTAAATTCTACCCTTTAGCTGGAAAGCTGAATGAAGATCGTAGTTCAATTGATTGTGATGATTCTGGAGTTTTGTTTGTGGAAGCTAAGGTTGATGCTTCCCTTTCAGAACCAGTTCGGAGTTCTCCCTATGAGCATTTTGGACAGTACTTGCCATTTGATCACCAGGGAGCTTCTGGTAGTGAAACTAAACTGTTTGATGCTTATCCAAGAAATGAAATCTTACTAGCAATCCAAGTGAGTTGGTTTGAATGTGGAGGCAGCGCAATCGGGGTGTCCATGTCGCACGCAGTAGGCGATCTCATGTCCTTGGTGGCGTTCATGAATTCGTGGGCTGCCATAAATCGCGGTGAAATCGCCAAAATATTAGTACCTAATTTTGATTTGGGTAGGAATTTATTTCCTCCGAGGGATTCTCCATACAAGTTTCCTTTAGCCGAAGTGGAAGGAAAGATCGTGTGCAAGCGATTTGTTTTCGGCAAGGAAAAGTTAACGGAGGTGAAAGAACTCGCTTCGTCAATTGGGTTGAAGGATCCAACCCGGGTTGAAGTAGTGACAGCTTTTTTGTTGAAGCAATTTGTCAACCTGGAAAGAGCTAAGAAGAACTGCAGCCATAATTCTTGTTCTACAGCTAAAACAAGGTTCATGGTCTGGCATGCGGTAAATTTGAGAAGCAGAATCAGCAGCTTGGCAGCGGAGGAGGACAATTTCACTTTTGGGAATGTTTCAAACATTGCAACTGCCTCGTTCATTCCGGATGATGATGATTCCAGGGATTATGGAGATTTGGTTTTGCTCACCAGGACTGCAATCAGGAATGTAAATGAGAATTATGTCCTTAATCTGTTAGTTCCTTTTCTGAATAGCTTTGATCCAAGTAGTCTTAGAGAACAAGAAGCCGCAACGAAAGCAGCAGCGGGAGCAGAGCAACAACCAACTGAGAAGATGAAGTTAATCCTGTTTTCCAGTTGGTGCTTAAAAGGCCGATTCTCCGCTTCTGAAGCGGACTTTGGCTGGGGAAAGCCTGTTTCTGTTGGCCCTGCCGGCACCCGGAATACAGCTACGACGAGGGTACTCTTAACTAGCTCATCGAGCAGTGATGACGGAATCGCTGCCTGGATTTACATGGTAGAAGATGAATTGGCTCTGCTCCCAGACGAGCTTCTTTCACTCGCAGCCACTGATTTTTTTCCTCTGGATGAACTGAATTCATGATGGATCATCATCTATTTAGTGAAACTGGTTCCCAATCTTCGGCATTTTCCCCGCTAATTAGCAAATGATTTGATTCAATTTCAGAATTCTCTATGTCACCCATGATTTTACCAATTTTTATCAGGTTTCATGTTTGTATTTTTCCTTCCCTAAATTTCCAGGCTCAGTCTTTTGTATTCCAGAGTCAATTACCCAGGTCATTAAAGCAATTGTTTGTATCATATACATGCTACCATTCGTTTCTTTAACTTCAAACTATTACCATTAATTATATCAATCAAATTTAGCTACAATTAAACAAGGGAATCCTAATTAGTGGGATAGGTGTTCCGGTCCGGACCATGAGTGTTGCGCTTGCAGCCATTATAGCATTTTATTGGAAGCACCGAACTACTCCCTGTTCCCGTTTTAATAGTCTTCATAAGTGTTTTACTTGCGGCCATTAAAGCCCCATTTACTTTTAACAGTCCACTTTGCGCAAAAATTTTAATTTACTAAAACAGATCTATGTTACCTGGACTCCGCTATGGGTGTCATATTGCATGTGGGAATTTGAATGTCAGACTCGTCAGCATTTCATAAGTGTTGGATATTTTACACTTAATTACAACACTCGACGCCAGTACTCATATCAATGTCGTGTCGTATCGACACAGGTATTCTCTTCAAATTGATGAGTCCAGGTAAGATAGAAATAGATTATTAAAATAAGACAGAAGAAATGTGATTTTATTGCAACCAACTTTCTTTTGTATAATGGTTAGACTGATCGTTAAGGAGTACAGACTATTCAAAGTCAGTGATACGTAGCGATATATGTTGATCCCTTTCCAAGATGGCATCATGTGATTCACCCAAAACAAAATGGTTGGAGTTGACAAATTCGTATTATATGATCCCTTCCAAGCTGGCTTAATTAACATCAGTTACAAATCACCATCTATTTGGGTAGCATCTGCATTTATTTATCTTGTTCACAAATTCTGTTTCAAAAGTGACTGAAATAAGGGAAGACAGAGAGGTACAGTGGCCAGAAAAATAAGGCCAGATGGAAACCAAGATAGATATCATTTCAAGGGAGTTGATAAAACCTTCATCTCCAACTCCGGATGAGAGTAAAGAGCATAAATTGTCATTGCTGGATCAGAACACGCCACAACTATATATGCGTCTCCTTTTCTTCTATCAAAATCAGTCACCAAATTACTCCTCAAACATCGCCGTCGACCCTAGGAAAACAGTAATCCTGCATCTGAAGCAGTCTTTATCAGAGTGTTTAACAAGATTCTACCCTTTAGCAGGAAAGCTGATTGAAGATCACAATTACATTGATTGTGATGACTCTGGAGCCCTGTTTGTGGAAGCTAAGGTGGATGCTCCCCTGTCTGAAGCAGTTCAGAATGCGCCATATGAGCATTTTGGACAGTATTTGCCATTTGAAGATCAGTCTGCTGATGGTGGTGAAGGGAAAACATTATTAGCAATCCAAGTGAGCTGGTTTAAATGTGGAGGAAACGTGATCGGGATATCCATGTCCCACACATTAGGCGATCTCACATCCTTGATAACATTCATGAACTCATGGACTGCCATAAACCGCGGTGAGGGTGCCAAATTGTTAGTGGTACCTAACTTTGATGCAGGGAGGAATCTTTTTCCTCCAAGGAATTCTCCTTATAGGTTTCCTATAAGTGAAGTGAAAGGCAAGATCGTGTGCAAGCGATTTCTATTCAGCAAGGAAAAGTTATTAGATCTGAAGGAAACCGCGAAATCTTTCTCATCATCAATAGCTGTGAAGGATCCTACCCGGATTGAAGTCGTGACAGCATTTCTGCTAAAGCAATTCATCAATGTGGAACGAGCTAAGAACAAAAACAACATTCATAATTCTTGTTCAAGATTCAGGGTCTGGCATGCAGTGAATTTGAGAAGCAGATTCAGCAGCTTGGCAGCCTTATCATCTAAGGCTAACGAGTTCCCTTTCGGGAACCTTTCAACTGTCGCAACCGACACATTCACCATTCCGGATGACAATGATGATGAGAGTGGTCAACCAGATTATGGTGATTTAGTTTCATTCACGAGGAACGCAATAAGGAAATTGAATGAGGATTATTTTTTGAATTTTGTCGTTCCTTATTTGGACCGTTTGGTTAGAAGTAGAACAACTGGAACAGAAGAAGAAGCAGAAGCAGAGGAACAAGATTCAGTAGCGAGGATAAAGAGGATTCACTTTACAAGTTGGTGTGGATTTCCATGGTATGAAATGGACTTTGGTTGGGGTAAACCTGTTTCAGTTGGCCCTGCCGGCGACCGACATTCACTTTCGACGAGGGTAATCTTAAAGAACTCGGAATCAAGTCGGGATGCCGGAATAGAAGCTTGGGTTTACATGTGGGAAGATGAAGTTGCTCTGCTCCCCGGTGAGCTTCTTTCTCTCGCAGCAACCGATTACTTTCGGGTAAACTGAAATTAGTGATTCAATCGCCTCGAATCTTGCGCATTTTCTACGCAAATTAGTGCATCTTCAGCTTCCAAATTCAATTCATCACCCGAGATTTACAATCATTTTAATCAGGTTCGTGTGTTTAGTTTCCTTGCCTGAATTTTTAAATCAATATGTCTTTGTATCTTTCTTCTTATTCTTCGAACCCTTTTCGCCTACAATAATGAAGGAAACCATTATTACTTTTAGCCCTTTACATTCCATCAATGGGAGAATGGGTCTTTTCATCCCAAAGTTTGAGTCATATCATCCAAAACATCTCAAAGTTTACCAAAGTTTAAAATTATGCCATTTTCATCCCAAATTTTTCAAAATATGTAATATTGGGATATCTGTTAAATTTTTTAGTTAATTAACATTGATTTTTTATTCAGTTTCTTTTCCTCCAATACCTTTTAGGTAAAAAAATTCCATACTCTAGCTTAGTAAATTTGGTCCATGCCAAGCAAAGAAGTTGCATGTCCCTGCATCGAATTACAACACTAATTTTTACATTGATGTTACATATTTCTTTTTTTTTAAAAAAAAAGATATGAAATAAGAACTTACTTACCAATTAGGACACCCTCACAACCTCATGATTGTTGTCATTTAGATGGTGAATCTTGGAAATTTTTTGTTAAGCATGGGAACAACGAAGATGTGAAGACCAAATTAAATTTAATTATTTTCTTATAAGTTAGGAATTCGTAAAACCCGTTAAATAATTAAAAAAGAATTCGGAGAGTGAAAAAGGAATAAAGTATCACCGTTAATTAATTAACTAAAAATTTTAACGAATATTTTAATTTAGCATATTTTTAAAAAATTTGGGATGTAAATGGCATGTACTTAAACTTTAGGATATTTTGAATAGTGTGCCTCAAATTTTGGGATAAAAAGACATATTTAATGTTTAGGGAATAGACTATTCCACCATGGCCTACACACCCCCTAAACGGCACACAGGATTGTTAGAATCACAAGATCCATCACATCAAGAAATTAAGGAATTGCACGACTGTCGTTTATTTCAAAACTAGCTATACCATCTGATTGAAGAAAATGATACATTCCTCAAGAATTATGGATGATATATGCACGGTAAACCGGATGATTCAATTAAAAAATTATAATAATAACGAGATCTTAACATACTTTAAAAAAAAAAGGTAACGATATACATTATCAACTGAATATTTCGAAGAAAATGGTAGAGAATTTTCGTTAAATGTATCATTATCATTCCTCAAAAGTAATTAAAATGGCGTTTTAAAATATTCGAGGGAGACATGCAACATGCGATCCGTGGATTTTATATGCAGCTGCAAATCATCTGATTGCATAATAATTGACTTGGAATGCAATTAATATTTCGAAGCCGCAGATCATCTGATTGCAAAATTATTTACTTTGAACACTCTCTACCATTGGAGTGCACAACAGAGTAAATAATTTTGTATCATTTCGAGGCATGTGATGTAAGCAACTTGGAACAGAACAATAATGAATAACATTATGCATCTCAATTTGACTTTCTTTTCCATTCACTCACTCGCTATTCTTAGGTATTAGTCAATAAAAGAAACCGTAAGAGTGGACGATTAAATTATGTATTGTGCAAAGCATCTGTATGCATATGCACAGTGGTTTAGTTGAAGGGTCATATATCCACCAGTTGCTAAGTGATAGAGAGTGTTCAAAGTCAATAATTGGTAAAATTGTTGTAATAGTATGACATTATTGGTTTCCCTTTCATCCCACAAAACATAATTGCTTGATTTATTAGACTTTCCTTTCTTTTATCATACCAAAATGGCAAAACAAAGTCCATAAATTGTTTGTAAAGAAAACAAAAAAAAAAAAAAAAAAAGAGTCGGTAAATTGCTAAAGCTCTTGAATTCATGGCCTGTTGAAAACCGCGGCGAAAGTACTCATAATAATTTGCCCAGTTTTACGGCAACCATTTTACATTGTATAATGGTTGGACTTTTTGTTAAGGAGTAAAGATTATTCAATGCCAATAGTGCAGCCATTTTCCATTTTAATCATTTTGCATGTGATCCCTTTTAGATATGCCTTCCCACGGTTGACGTCAAAAAATTGGGAGGAGAATATGATTCTTTTCCAAGCTGGGTTCACATCAGTCACCATAAATGTAGTAACATCTGCATTCATTTCGTTTTGTAAAAATCCATTCTTTTTCAGGTGGCTGAGAGTAAGACAAAAGAATAGAATGGCAAGATGGAATGTAAGATAGATATCATTTCCAGGGAGTTGATAAAACCTTCATCTAAGACTCCGGATGAGAGTAAAGAGCATAAACTGTCATTGCTGGATCAGCACACGCCACAACTACATATTCGCCTCCTTTTCTTCTATCAAAATCAGTCACCAGGTTGCTCCTCAAACGTCCCTTCGAAAACAGTAACCCTGCGCCTGAAGCGATCTTTATCAGAGTGTTTAACTAGATTCTACCTGTTAGCCGGAAAGCTGATTGAAGATCACAATTACATTAATTGTGATGACTCTGGAGCCCTGTTTGTGGAAGCTAAGGTTGATGCTTCCCTGTCTGAAGCAGTTCAGAATGCGCCATATGAACATTTTGGACAGTACTTCCCATTTGAAGATCAGTCTGCTGATGATGGTGAAGGCAGAACTTTACTAGCAATCCAGGTGAGTTTGTTTAAATGTGGAGGCATCGTGATCGGGATATCCATGTCGCACGTGTTAGGCGATCTCATGTTCTTGGTAACATTCATGAATTCATGGGCTGCCATCAATCGCCGCGAAAATATCGAATCTTTATTAGTACCTAATTTTGATATAGGGAGGAATGTTTTTCCTCCGCGGAATTCTCCCTATAGGTTTCCTGTAAGTGAAGTGAAAGGCAAAATCGTATGCAAGAGATTTCTATTCAGCAAGGAAAAGTTAACGGAACTGAAGAAACTCGCAAATTCTTCCTCATCATCTTCACCAATAGTGAAGGATCCTTCCCGGCTTGAAGTCGTGACCGCTTTTCTGCTTAAGCAATTTATCAGCGTGGAACGAGCTAAGAAGCGCAATAATCCTACTTCTTCTTGTTCAAGGTTCTCAGTCTGGCACGCAGTGAATTTGAGAAGCAGATTCAGCAGCTTGGCACTTTTATCCTCTAAGGCGAACGAGTTTCCATTCCGGAATCTTTCAGCTATGGCAACCGACAGATTCACCATTCGGGATAACAATGATGATGAGAGTTGTTATGGTGATTTGGTTTTGTTCACCAGGAATATAATAAGGAAATTAAATGAGGATTATTATTTAAATTTTGTAGTTCCTTATTTGGATCCCTGGGTTAGAAGCCGAGCTACAGAAACAGAGGAGGAAGAAGCTGAGCAAGAACTGAAAGAATTATATTTCTGTGTATATTACCGGTTGTACATTGAGATATATATATATATATATATATATATATACAAGGATACATAAAACCCTAGCCGACTATTCCGGAAACCCTAATTTGGTTTCCTTAATTACACACTCTATCATCCCCCCGCAATCGTAGCAAGATGAGGAATCATGCCTAGATTGGTTTTAAACAAATAGAATTTATCTTTAGCTAATGACTTGGTGAAGACATCTGCAAGTTGAGATTGTATGAGAATATGACGAACAACAAGAAAACCAGCAGCAACTCGTTCACGAACAAAATGGATATCCAGCTCAATATGCTTTGTTCTGGCATGATTAACAGGATTGGCGGCAAGGTAGGTAGCAGAAATTTTATCACACAGAATAACTGAAGATCTGGGAAGCTTGATGTGAAGCTCAGATAAAAGATTTTTCTAACCAAACAACTTTAGATAAGGTAGTAGCAACGGCGCGATACTCAGATTCAGCAGAAGATCGTGAAACAGTAGATTGCTTTTTGGAAGACCACGAGACCAATGATGAACCTAAAAAGACACAGAACCCAGTAGTAGAACATCTAGTTATCGGACACCCAGCCCAATCAGCATCCGAATAAGCCACAAGACGATCAAGAGAACCAGCACGGATATAAATACTATAGTGAAGGGTACCCTTAATATACCATAGAATGCGCTTAACAGCCTGATAATGTTGCTCCCGAGGATCATGCATATCTTGTGACAAGATTGATGACATCTTGAATGTCCGATGCAGTGAAAGTAAGGTATTGGGGGGCACCTACCAAACTTCTGTAGAGAGTCGGATTATGAAATGATGGTGACTCATCAACAGAGAACTGAAAAGCCGGAGCAAGTGGAGTGGCAACAGGATTAGCTTCAGTGAGATGACTCCGAGAAAGTAATTCCTCAGCATACTTGCGTTGATGCAAAAACCAACCATTTGACTGGGGAGAAACCGAGACACCCAAGAAGTAACTGATAGGACTAAGATCAGTCATGGTAAAAGCACCCTTCAGAGACTGAATAAGTCTGGTGAGAAGACGATCACTAGAGGCTGTTAAGAGAATATCATCAACATAGAGAAGGAGAACAGCCATGTCAGTGCTAGCAATGTAAACAAACATAGAAGAATCCGAGCGACTGTCTTTAAAACCCTGTATAAGCAGGAAAGTAGTAAAGGGTTGAAACCAAGCTCGGAGGACCTGCTTTAAGCCATAAAGAGCTTTGTTCAGGTGACAGACATAGTGAAGATGGTCTGGATGAACAAAGCCAGTAGGCTGTTTCATATAGACAATTTCATTTAAATGGCCATGCAAAAATACATTTTTAACATCCAACTGATGGACGGGCCACTTATGAGATGCAGCAATACTTAAGACAGTCCGAATTGCCACTGGTTTAACCATAGGACTAAACGTTTGATCATAATCAAGCCCAGGTTTTTTATTAAAACCCTGAGCAACCAAACGTGCTTTACAACGATCAAGGGATCCATCGGATTTGAGTTTCACACGAAAGATCCATTTAGAACCAATGACATTCACAGACACAGGTAGTGGGACTAAATCCCATGTATGATTAGAGAGAAGGGCGTGGTATTCATCATTCATAGCGGCACGCCATTCAGGATGTTTATTTGCTTCAGTGAAAGATTTTGGTTCTATGGGAAGAGAAGGAGAATTGGTAGTGGCAGTGAGGGAGAAAATCTGTTTGGATTTTCGTGTGCCATTCCGAGTGCGGGTGACCGTAGGATGTGAGGGAGCAACGGAGGATATAGGATCTGAAGGTTGAGTAGGAACGGAAACTTGGGTAGCAGAGATAGAATCTGAAACAGGAGTTTTGCTGGGAGAGGAAATAATCGGTGATGGAAGGCATTTGGGAATGACAAAGGAAGGATGTTTAAATGAGGGGGCCAAGGTAGGAAGGGGCTGAGTCGAAGAGGATAGTGTAGGAAAAGGAAACGAAGTTTCATCAAAAATGACATGACGAGAAATGTAGACTTTTCGAGAGACTGGATCAAAACAACGATAACCCTTATATGATTCTGGATAACCAAGAAACACACAAGGAACTGAACGAGGACTAAGTTTATAAGATGCTAAATGAGAGAGATTTGGAAAACAAGAGCAACCAAAAATCCTAAGTACCCCATAATTAGGTGGACGGCCAAAGAGAAGTGAGAAAGGGACAGCTCCGAACTTAGATGTAGTAGGTAGCCGGTTTAAGAGATAAACACAAGTGATTAATGCTTCGACCCAGAATTCATTTGGTAAATGGGCTTGATGAAGAAGAGTACGGACCATGTTAAGAATAGTTTTATTCATTCGTTCAGCCTTCCCATTTTGTTGGGGAGTGTATGGACAAGAGACTCGCATTGCGACCCCCTTTGATTTGAGAAAGGTTTGAAGAGATTGAGAGCGAACATATTCAGCAGCACCATCGGATTGAAGTATTTTAATAGAAGAATGGAATTGACTTTGAACAAGAGTATAAAATTCAACAAACTTTTGACGAACTTCAGATTTATTTTGGAGAGGATACACCCATAGGTAATGAGTGAAATCATCTAGAAATAGAACAAAATATTTAAAACCACTAAAGGAAAGACAAGGAGAAGTCTAGACATCAGTATGAATAATATCAAAAGGATTGTAAGTGACAGACGACGAAGACTGAAAAGGAAGCTTATGATGCTTTCCAATTTGACATGCTTGACACAGGTAAAGCTTATTGGACGAAACCACCGAACCAGGAAGACTCTGATGGGACACTAAACTGGACAAGACAGAAGAGTGCGGGTGACCAAGACGTTGATGCCACACTTGGGAAGACACTGGAGCAACAAACGCCGGACATGACAAGGAAGATGGTGCAAGAGACTGATGTAGCAAGGTAGAAGGAAAGGTATAAAGGGACCCAGTGCTATTGCAACGTAGACGAGGGATCTCGTCCAGAGATCCTTCACTGAAAAACCAAAAGGATCAAATTCAACGGAACATTGATTTTCAGTAGCAAATTGACGAACAGAGATAAGATTTTTCGTAATAGAAGGAATACAATAAACGCAAGAAAATTTAAACGAAGAACAAGAAAGAGTGCCAACAGATTTAATGGGCAACATATTACCATTACCAATCACAACCCTAGTAGATCTATTATAAGGCTTTGAATTGGAGAGAATACCTTGAGTGGGAGTCATAGTGTTACCACAAGCGGTATCCATATACCAGGATGAATCCACGGATGGAGGAGCAGGAGGTCGAGTATATTGATCGACAAAGTAAGCGGGTTGCCGAAATTAGAAGCATTCTCTAGCAGAGTGATTCGCTTGATTGCATAATTGACAGCGAATAGCAAGTTGTCCTGGCTGAAAAGAGGGAGCTGGACCAAGAAGTGAAGGAGCACGATTTCTGGGAGAAAACATAGGAGGCTGAAAATTAGAGTAAGCAGGATAAAAAGAATTATACTGACCAGATTGATTTCGGCCACGTCCGCGACCGCCACGCCCACGAAAATTCTGGAACCTCCCTCGACCAGGACCACGATTGTTGGCGAAAGGTTGAGAGGTGGCTGAAATAGGAAGGGATTCAGTTGAGGAAGCCGTAACTAACGCCGGAGTTGCCGCGGGAGGAGTAGCAGGGATGGTATTATGTAGTTGCACTTCGTGCAAGAAAAGCGTGGAACGAGCTTCAACAAAATTAGGCAACGAGACTTTGTGACTAATCGTGGTCGAGACAGATTGATATTCAGAAGGAAGGCCAGCAAGAATTTGAAGGACCAAGTCGGTTTCGGAGACTGGAGAACCAACCGCCGTTAAAGAATCGGCAAAAGATTTAAGTTTGGTGACATAATCATTGATGGATAAGTCACCCTTCTTGAAACTATGGGATTGGAGTTTCAATTGAAGAAGACGAGAGCCAAGTTGATCATGAAAAAGCTGTTGAATAGTTAACCATACTTCTCGAGCAGTAAGATTAGAATTTGGTTTAACTATAGCTTGCAAGATTTCGGTTGAGACTGTGGCTTGAATTTAGGAGAGAACAATGGAATCAATTTGAGTCCATGTTTGAAAGGCAGGATTTGGGACAGAAGCGAAAGAACCATCCACAGCGGGAAGAGTCGAGGCGGACAGAGAGAGGTACCATCAATGTGATCCATGACACCATGACCGCGAAAAATTGGAAGAAAGAGTTCCTTCAAGAGCATATAGTTGGTGAAATCTAGGATGGGAGTAACATAATTTTTGATGTTGGAGAGGCCAATGGCCGGATGAGATAGCGGAGAAGAGATGTTGGAAGGAAGGGGGTTTTGCGACTGGTTTTGGGTGGCGGTGGTTGTGGATTCGTCAGACCGAGCCATGAAGGAGAAAGATTATGGTGAGGGAGGATTGCTGCGTGGGTGGTAAGAATTAGAGTTTTTTTTTTTTTTTTGAGAGTGAAAGAATTAAACGAGGAAAAAGACCAAACGGCGGCGGATAGCAGCGGCAAACGGCGGTTGAATCAGATCAAACGAGAAGCAGTGGCAAATGGCAGCAGCAGAATGGAATTGAGTTAATAGCAGCAGGCCGGATGATTGGAGCCGCCGGATGAGTTAATAGCAGCGGCAAACAACGCTTGGCCGGATGATTGCCGATGGTTGGAGCCGCCGGAATTGGAGCAGGAGTTGCAGCAGGCGGGAGATGGGAATAACAGCAGCAGGCCGGATGATAAACAGCAGCAGCAGAAGGAGAGAGTTTAGAGCTGCGGCGGTTCGGCGGAAAAAGGAAAAAAAAACTGACGGCAAGAGAGATGTTGTGTATGCCGGCAAGAGAGAGAGGAAGAAAAGAAAGCTGACGGCGAAAACCCTAAAAAATTGAGAGGCCAGGAAAGAAGGATGATACCATAAAAGAATTATATTTCTGTGTATATTACCGGTTGTACATTGAGATATATATATATACAAGGATACATAAAACCCTAGCCGAGTATTCTGGAAACCCTAATTTGGTTTCCTTAATTACACACTCTATCAAGAACTTCCAGCAGGGAGGATGAAGAGGATTCACTTTACATGTTGGTGCGGATTTCCATGGTATGAAGTTGATTTCGGTTGGGGAAAGGCTATTTCAGTTGGCCCCGCCGACACCCGATGTTCGTGACCGACGAGGGTAATCTTAATGAGCTCATCGGATCGTGATGCCGGAACAGAAGCATGGATTTACATGTCAGAAGATGAAGTTGCTCTGCTCCCGGATGAGCTTCTTTCTCTCGCAGCCACCGGTTACTTTCGCGTTAACTGAATTAAGTGATTCAATCTTCGTCGATCTAATGACAAATGGATTTTCGCATTTTCTACATTTAGTGCAGATTCAGCTTTCAAATTCGGTTTATCATCCATGATTTTAATCATTTTTATCAAGTTCGTGGGCTGTATTTTCCTTACCTGAATTTCAAAGCCATATCTTCTTATCTTTGTTTTGATTCTTTAAAACTTTTTCACCTGCAATTACAAATTTACAAATATTATTAAAATTACTTTTAGACCTCTTTACTTTGATGATGGAAAAGACTTTTGCTCTATTCACAGTCTACACGGCTCGCGGGATTATTGTTGGAATCAGAAGATCACATCGTGAAATTAAGGAGTTGACAGATAAAATAAATAGAGGTAGTACTCAACTATAAATCATATACAGATTGCAAATTAATTGACTGCCCAACTGTTATGCAATCAACCAGTAATAAATAGACTTACCTCTATCTTTGAAAAATAATCAATTCGTGAATTATAATGTGAACAATTTTTTGGAAGACAGCGGGAGTATAGTATTACTATTTCAAAGCATGGGGTGTTCTCAAATAGTGGAATATCTTAAAGGCGCAACACCATATCTAACATATATACATAAAGATATTCGTACTCAAAAGATAGTTTATTATATTAAACTAGTTGGAGCCATTGCGCTTCGCGCGTGCCCGATGTGATGCATCATAAGTTTTTTTTTCCGAAAAAATTATACTGTAATGTACTTAGTAAAATGAAATTATTTAATAAGTTGTTGATGGTAATTTTGATACATATAGTAGCATTATTAGATGGTAAATGTTCCAATTTTAACTAATCTATTATTATCACTTTTCTGAACTGGAGATGGTAAGAGAATTAGAATATTAATTTAAATTGAAACAAATGAATTACGAAATAATAATAATAATAATAATAATAATAATAATAATAATAATAATAATAATACAGTTTCATATATCAAATTCTTCCATAATAAAGTTGGTGTGGTGCAGATGACACAATAAACTCCCACGAGTACACTGATTATGGTCCAGTGTTTTTTAGGATAAAACTAATGAAATATGAAAACATGAAAACTAATGGGACATTTAAATACTCCCTCTGTCCCAAAATTATTGTCCAACTTGAGATTTCACTTTTAGTACAATTTGAACTAGAAATGAAAACTCAAACTGGACAATAATTATGGGACGGAGAGAGTACTTCTTAGTCTTTTTTTGTTGAATGGAAAAAGTATTGTTGGATGTTGGATGTTGTATCAACAATGGTGGCTATGTTTTGGATGCTTTGAAGGATTTGAGTTGGGATTTCAATTAGCACAATTGAGTAGTCTTCACCATATTTCTAGCATCAGTACGGATAGTCATCTTTTGATGCGACTTTTGGCGCTTCTCAGGTGTTGGAGTTGGATCCATAAGATTAGCAGTTCCATTTGGAGTATCAGCATTTCGTATTGTCAGTCTGTCATAAATGCATCTGCCTTTAATCAAAGGTTAAAGTACTTTAGGTGTTGTAATGAATTTGAGGACTACAATATTATTGTTGTTTCAAATAATGAGGAATATGATTAACGTTGGTAGCAATGGAAAGTGCTTGTGAGTTTGGAGGTAGAGAATCAAAATTCACACGGCCTTAGTCATTTGTGGGTCTAGAGTATATAGCCTATGTTGGAGGTTTCTGGTCGCTGCTTTTTTGGTAGCTTGATTTGAACAACGTAAAGTGTGTCATCAAATTTGGCATGTGCGTCGTGAGGTTTTTGGCCGGCGCAACACAACGAACCGGGGTAGCAGCCTGGGTTTCCTAGCTGCAGGAATGTTTCATCTAATATCAAAGCCGTCAAACAGGCATTACACTTTCTATATGTTCCTCGTAATATTTTGTCATTTACATGTAAACCAAAATTTTCTAAAGGAATCACAAGCTATGCACAGATCCAGTGAATGTTTTCGTTCAAGGAGCAAGCAGCTTCTTAACTCCTGACGTTGTTCTGCTGTCAACCTAGTTGAGAATTTGATGTTGAACTTAATCCTTTGATTTTGTTTCAAATAAATAAATCAAAAAATAAAAAATCCTGAGATTGCCTCTCTTTGAAGTCCTGGGGCTGAATCTAAATACATTTGGTCAATCTCCTGTTTGGAAAGATGTTGCCCCAATCTCTTGTACCTGGAGACGGCACTTGCCCTTTCAAGCCTTCTTCACCGTACTCATCGTAGATAGCCCTTTTCTCACGGTCACTCAAAACCTACAGATTAAGCATTAAAACAATGTATGGATCTGCTCCGAGTGTTCCAGTTGGTGCATTTAGAGAATGTAGTTTCCTAGGTGTAATCTTAGCTTTTTTACTGAAATATTCAGTATGTATATTGGTTTTCTGCTCTACTTACTTGGGAGTTGAATTTCTTCACTTCTGCAGGATGCAGTTGCAAAGTCTTTTCAGCCAGATCTCCAAAGACGATTGAGCACTGCTGGCCTCCTTTTAATCAATCAATAAACTTCAATACTATTTTTGTATATAGATTCTCAAGATGTGGGATTTTGCGAAGCTTATGTCACAGAAAAGTGAAAATACATGCATTTGCCATCATTGCCAAAATATTAAGCCATTGTAAGCTTGCTCTTTCGCTCCAAGATTAGCATACCAAAACCAGTCGGAAGAGGAAGAGGCAGCTCAACATCCCCCTTTGCTTAATTAGTAAAGTAGACATGTTGAACTCGTTCTTTTAATAGTGGTAATCTGCAAAGCAAAGATAAGACCATTACTGATTTTGCCATCTCACATGTAAAATCCCGTTGAAAGATGATTTCTTCAACTAAGAACATAAAGTTTAAAAATTATCCAGAAAGCACCAGGAATAATCAGGGATCAAGCGTGCTATTTTTTACCTTCCATGAAATCGACTTAGGATAGCCATCACGCGAATCTGTGTCATTTAAGTCCTCATCATAATGATCTTCCAAGGGGGTGTCATTGGGAATTCTGAGAGATTTAAGTTGCTGACATGATCTCTTGTGTAAATCGATGCCAAGATTAATTCCAAGACACTTCTGGATGTCTAGTGATTCCAGGTCAGTACAACCATCAAGGACAGCTAGCAGACCTAAATTTATCATCTTATTTCCAAAAAGACAAAGATGCACAATCCAAGCATGGTTTTTTGCAATAGCATGTGCCTCGTTATCATCCCCAATCCTCATCATGTTTCCCTATGTTTTACCTCAAAACAATTAAATGGTGCTTTTAAAATGATCTTGAAACTCATACAGCATGTGGACTCAATAAACTTGTATGCTCGTGTTCTAAGAGCAAATTGAGCATCAAAATCTTTACATTGGTGAACTGTTCACACAACTTCAATAACTCCAGACATGACTAAGCAAAAATATACTCTATAACAGATAAAATAGCAGTCCATACCAAATCAATTGGCACGGGAAATTTTTCCGAAACAAAAGAATGTGCTTCAAGTCTTTACTCTTTACACTCACTCCAGCTAGAAATTGGAGGCTATGACAAGCGTTGTATAAGTTTCTAACAAATAACTTGACAATAGAAACCTAATGAGGAAACAGATTCAGACTACTTAATTTGTGGCCGGCCTACTTTGATAACGAAATCTAACGCAAAAGATTATCTTCATGTTGAGAGACAATTTGAAGAATGTACTTCATATCCCCGTTTCGATTGCATTTTAATTGATATTGGAAGGCTTCTAATAAACTCATCAACCTCCAAAATTCAATGTATAACAGAACAAAGTGAAATTTCAATTCATTCAGAGTAAAAAAAAAAAAATCACGTAAAAACAAAAAGCAGCATATGGAACCCGGCCAACCTTGTATCCAAAAAGAAGTATGAAACAGATCACTAAAGTACACAAAAACAGCAACAACAACAACAACAACAAAAAAAAAAAACTCACTCTTTGGATTAAGGAAAGAATGTACACATACCTTACTTTGAGCAATATCGAGAAGGCGGAGCTCCAACTTTTGGCCTCTCAATTCAAGAACCTAAAACCTCTGTTGTCCATAAGCCCATACAATTAATCCAAAAATAAACAAAACTATCCAATAATAAATTATAAAAATACAGTTCTGGATTGAGGAGAAAATAAATTTAAAAAAAAAAAAAATAAAAGAGGGAAAGAAACAAAGAGGCAAATTGCAGAAACATATTAGTACTACTTACAGTTAACGGACGAATGACGAAGCATTTGCTGATGGCAAGGCCCGTACCCAAGTCTACTCCCACGGTGGAATCAGCAATTGTGTAGGTCGGAGGAAAGGAATTTCCTCTCAAATAGCAAAATAACACCATTGAAATAATTTATTGATTGGTAAGAGGATATGTTTGATGTATTGATTGGAAAGAGGGGGTACCAAAAGCTTTGAAACTCACAATTAAGTTGGGGAGAATTGTGAGTACATAATGTACCCTTCTTCATCAAAAAAAATTATAAAAAAAAAAAAAAAATTCACATTGCTCCATGTTTCCGATGGGTGAATATCACTTTCGGATGAGAAATATTGTTGAATTGTTTTTTTAAGACAGAGGTATATCGTATTATTTTAAAACATGGGTATTTATCAAAAAGTGAAATATCTTAAAGATGCAAACACCATATCTAACGTGCATGCATAAAGATATTCATACTCAAAAAATAGTTTATTATATTAAACTAAAACAATATATTTATTTTGTGCTAAAGTGATTATTCAGTTTAAATTTTTATTTTTAATATAATTTGTAAATGATGTACCTCACTATCCCAAAAAAAATAATCCATATTAAATTTTGAGATTTGTACATAATGAATTCTTTCATATCAAGTTGATTATAACATTTCTTACTCCTAAATATCTTATGGCATGATAACACAAGGTATTTGAGCAAGTTGGGAGCGCGTTAATCAGAATAAGATTAGAGCTTACTGTTCTTTACAAAAAGAAATCCTGAAATTTAGTCAACACTCTTTTTGTAAGGTGGTTTTTAGAAAGAGATGTTTTGTGATTAAGAATGCCTTTCTAAATAAAGAGATGTTGTGTGATTAAGAATGCCTTTCTAATTTAGGATTTAATTAAGAGTGATTAATATCCAACGATCTACATCTAAGGAAATTATGGATATGAGTTTTATCATTTTTTATCAGCTGGTTGGTGTTTTTGTTTCCATCCCAGAATATCAAGTTCTCTACTACTACTTACTATGACTATTATCACATGTCGTGATCATAGTAGGTCGTGCTCTAAAGTCAATTATCGGTGGTTGTTGAGGCTTTCTTTGTACTTTTCTTCCAGTTTATATCTCTGCTATAGTTGATTTACCTCAAGTTCCTCCTACCCAAATGGTACAATTTTTTTTTTTTTTACTTATTATTTTTAGTTCTGTCTTTTGGTATGATTTAGGAGGCTATGAGCCTAAAAAATCTGTTTCATTTTTTTATGGTATTTTTAAATTAAAATATTAATAACTGTCTCATCCCAACATACCTTTTTACATTTCCAATATATATTTTTACATTTCCAATACAAAAAACACCTAAAAATACACACTAAAAAAAAGAAACAAACATAGCTTAAACAATTAGCTCTGCCTTTTGGGACTCTATGAGCCTAAAAAATCATTAAACAATCACATTTCAAGGTGGAAATGATACCATTTTCATCGTACATATTTGGGTTGGTAGGTAAGGTAAGTAGGTAACCTCATCCATTGAATCTATATAATGACATTAGTTGTGGAAATCCTTTAAACCTTTAAAAAAGTCCTTTAAACCTTTGGTTGGTTAGAAACACTTGAGGTTCACATAAAGGAATGACCAAGACTTGGGCTTCTCTTTTGACTTGGTAACAAGCTACATAAGTAGCATCTCATTGGAAGTAAGTGAGCAACTTCCTAATTCAACTTCATTCTGCTAACATTTTCTTTGTTCACAGATTCTATTTAAGTTGTTGAAAATACATATACCTGGGCAGCAATGAGCAAGATGGGAGCAAAGATAGACATAATCTCAAGGGAATTGATAAAACCTTCTTCTCCAACTCCCAAGGAAAACAAAGAAATCAAACTGTCTGTGCTGGATCAGCTTGCACCCCATAAATATTTTGCTCTTCTTTTCTTCTATCAAAATCACTCCTCTTGCTCAGAAGCTCTTAACCCTTCAAAAGCTACCCTGCATTTGAAGCAATCTTTATCAGAAATTTTAACTCAGTTCTACCTGTTAGCCGGAAAGCTGAACCCGGATTATCTTTCCGTTGATTGTGATGATTCCGGTGCCCTGTTTGTAGAAGCTAAGGTTGATGCTTCCCTCTCAGAAGCTCTTCAGAATGCACCTTATGAAAGTTTTAATCAATACTTGCCGTTTGAGCTTTGTGATGATGATGGCCATGGTAGACTCCTGGCTACCTACCCAAGAGATGAAATGCTAGTTGCAGCTCAGATCAGTTGGTTTGAATGCGGAAGCAATGCTATTGGGGTATGCATTTCACACAAAGTTGCTGATTTCATGTCTTATGTAGAATTCCTGAATTCATGGGCTGCCAAAAACAGGGGAGATTGTAAGAGATTCTCACCCGATTTCGATTCGGGGAGGAATCTTTTCCCTCCATCCGAGTTGTCTCTAAGATCTCCCTTTACTGAACTGAAAGGGAGGATCTCGTGCAAGCGATTTCTGTTCGACAAGGAAAAGGTAACAGAATTGAAAGATCTAGCAATTTCTTCATCATCAGTTGTGAAAAATCCCACTCGGGTTGAAGTGGTTACTGCTTTCCTGCTGAAACAACTCATCAATGTGGAACGAGCTAAGAAGAATAGTACTAATCAATCTGCAGCTGAAACAAGGCTCAGAATAATGATCAGGCATATGGTGAATTTGAGAAGCAGAATAAGCAGCTTGGCCTCCTCATCAAATCCTAATCAGGAGTTTCCTTTTGGGAACTTCTCAGTTGCTCCAAATTCTGTTTTCAATCCTGATGAGGATTTCAGAGATTTTGGTGATCTAGTCAAGCTCACCAGTACCACAATAAAGAAAGCTAACTATGATTATGTTATGAATTTTGTAGCTTCTTTGAGCAATTCTGGTCCAAGTAATGGTAAAGCTGAAGCAGAGCAACAACAACCAACGGTTGTGCATTTTACAAGTTGGTGCAGATTTCCATTTCATGATTTGGATTTCGGATGGGGTAAACCTTTCTCAGTTGGTCCTGCTGGGACCCCGGATACTATTAGGGTGATCTTAATCAGCACCCCAAATGAAGATGGAATTGAGGCTTGGATTTACAGATTAGAAGATGAACTGGCTTTGCTTCCGGACGAGCTCCTTTCGCTGGAAGTGACCAATTATTTCTGAAATGTAGTATCTCAATGATGATCTATCATTTTTTCTGTTTTCACTTTAATGAACTACTTAAATGGATGTTTCATCAGCTTCGAATTTTGATTTTAAGCCAGAATTGTACCATCATTTTAATTTTATCAGATTAGTGTTTGCATTTGTAAATTAAATTTTGTGCTGCTTAACTTAAAAGGTTTCTTTTACATTTTTCTGTTATTGTTGTTGGTGAAGCGACAGGAACCTAATCAACTCGGAGTTGTTGAGAAACCACTTTAGTGGTAAATGCCTTTAATGGCGTAAGAATGTGTGCGAGTTTGACCACCAAATTCAAGAGAGTTTGAAGCAAAAACTTGCGCCGCTGAAAAGTTGAGCCAAGGTTGCATTATCTTAAAAAACAAAAAAGAAAGAAAATTTTACAACTTGTGCAAAACGGTTATTTTCATTTTTCTGTATAACGTCTACAGAATTAAACATTCAGGCTTTGTTTGTTTTCTTTTTTAGTTGGTTTTTTCAGAATTAAATAATAATAATTATCCCACCCAGCACACCTTTTTTACATTTTTAATACACTTTTTTACATTCCCAATATAAAAAACACATCAAACCACACACTAAAAAAGCAAAACAAACAAAGCCTCAATTTCTTGTTTTCTTTTTCCTTCTTCATCCCAAAAAGGCAAAAATATGCCTATCCTCTTCCATTTTTTTTTTTCACAACTCTTGCTCTTCATTATTTTCAACGAGTTGAGGAATATTATTTTCTTTCCAAATGGATGAAAATGATAGATTCAGAAATTTCTGTGATACACCTTACAATTAAAATCCGCAATAGAAGTTTCAAAATGTCCAAAACTTACTCAATTTCCAGGTTCCTCGCATTTTTAAAAGTCAACTTTTAAATTAGACACCAATCGCTCAATGGTGCCTATCAATAGTGATGCTAGAATTCTTACTTTTAATTGGACGCCAGTTGCCCAATAGGATTTCCAACATTATCTTGAAAACTAACAGAACTTTGTCATTTTAAGTTTGATTAGTACGTCTTCTATTAATATATTTTTAGGGAAAATGGGTCTTTTTATCCTAAAGTTTGGGTCACACCATCCAAAACATCCTAAAGTTTAATAACATGACATTTACATCCCAAACTTTTTAAAAACATGTTACATTAAGATATTCGTTAAATTTTTAACTCCAGTTAATTAATTAGTGGTGGTACTTTATTCTGTTTCTCCTCCCACAATTCTTTTAATCATTTAACACGTTCCACTAACTCCTACCTTATAAGAAAATAGCTAAACATAATTTGGTCTTCACATCATCCATTCTTCCCTTACTTAAAAAAAAGAAAAAAAAATCCAAGATTCACCTCCTAGATTGATAACAATCATGAGAGGTTTTGTGTGTGTCCTAATTAGAAAGTAAGCCCTATTTCATTTATTTTTTTTAAATATGTAACATCATTATAAAAATTGGTGTTGTAATTGAAGCAGGGACATGCAATTTTTTTGCTTGGCATGGACCAAATTTACCAAACGCAAGTATGAAATTTTTTTGACTAAAAAAATGGGGGAAAAGAAATTGAATGAAATATCGTCATTAATAACTTGAAAAAATTAACAAATGTCCTAATATTAAATATTTTTGAAAAGTTTGGGATGAAAATGGCATACTTTTAAACTTTGGAATATTTTAGATGGTGTGGTTCAAACCTGGGAATGAAAAGGCCCATTCTCCCTATATTTTTATTGACAGTTTGTACTTTTATATATATATATTTATGCATGTTTCATTATTGTGACGTATTCACCTTTGCCTTTGGAAAGATCTTCCATACAGCTGTTGTATCATGCAGGATTGTGCATCCAGACACTTAAATAAGGTAAGATTGTAATTTTACCGGTAAAATTACCACAAAATTAGGGGGCCATAATATTTTTCAGTATAATGGATATGTTACTACATTAAAAAAAGATAATACACTTGTTGTATGGAATAATTTTTCTTTGTCTTTTATTAATATTTTTTTTATTGACAGTTTCTACCTAAACATTTTTTTTTATGCATGTTTCATAATGGTGACATATTCACCTTTGATTTAGTGGAAATACACAAAGATCAAATATAGTTAAGCTATACATTTTTCAATTTGTCATTTTTCATAACTCGGGTAAAAAATAAAATTTAACCAAACTTGAAATGAAGACCAAACAAACTTCAGTACTTAAAAATCAAGTAATACTAATTTCCGAAAAAACTTAAGTATTATTTTGTGAAAATGGTTTGGGAAAATTTTTTTAAATAATACTGCATTTTCCTGGAAATTTTCCACATATAGTTGGCCAGAAGTCCACAACACATAATTTGACTTGTCCCAATGTTGAAATACAAATTAGACAAGAGACAAAAAAAATAAAAAAAAAAGTTACTTGATTAGATCAAATTGGCCTACGTTCGAAAACAAATGTTGACTCGTATAGTCATCAACCATTTATTCGAATGGGCCAAGTTCTTAAATGGGTGATGACCAAGTTTCAACAATACTTTTACCTTTGCTTCTCCAGCAAGACTACAAGGTTGGGGATTTTCAATAGTGTTATCAGACGCGGCTCGGTCACCGACTCGGCAAGGATAGAGGTCAGAAATTTTAGGAGTCGATTCGGGTCGACTTGAGGGTCGACTCGAATGATGTCATTATGATGTAATAAATAATATATAATTATTAAATATATTATAATAATTAAAAAGGCTTAATATTCATATAATGTTTTATAGGAATGACAACAATAGTATCTTAGAGTATTTAATTACATTTAAAATAAATATATTAACTTAAAAATTAACACAATCTAATTATTTTTAATTAGAATTCATAAATTTAGAAGATAATCAACTTTTATTAGTAATAAAATGTATAATAAAATAATCAATTTTGACATATTTTAAATATGATTGCAATTTGTATGAAATAATGGAGGTTCATATGTGAGAAAAAATAATAAAAATATTTTTATTTAAAAATGGTGCCTTTAATAAGTTGAAGTTAAAAAGTTAGGACTAAAATGACAAATTAATTCTTGAAGAAAAAAGTTATTGGGTCATTGAAGTGTAAAAGAAAAATATTAGGACCAGGGAAGAGAAAGAAAAACACAAAAAACGAGAGAAAAAAGTAAAATTTGGTCAAAAAAGTGAAAATTAGCAAACCCTGGATCGATCAGGTTTTGTCCAGTTCCTGGTTCACTCGGGGTTTTAACCGATTTTAATCGAGTCAAAGAAAAGGAGTATTTCAAGTTACTCGGCTCGGTATGCGGTCTGATTCTCAATTTAATTGGTTGAACCGGTCGGTCCGAGCCGAGTCCAACAACACTTATTTTCAAAGTCTAACATGCACAAAATGCCTTTAAACTCAGCCGCCCAAAAGAAATACAAAATGATGACGATGATAATGATTGTTAAACTAATTAATTTTTATTATAATAAAGGAGACAATTATCTAAAATTAAAAATTATTATAAGTTTATAAGACATACAAATAATTTTATATTTTATCTACAGTTTAAAAGTAGGTATAAATTATTTAACCGCCAAAACTAAATGTTCCTGAAGTTGTTAGTGAATCCATAACAAAATTTAACTCACTCGCTAATCGGTAACCGCTATCTCTACAACTTTGAATTGGAAAGAAGAATAAAGTAGAATGATGTTATGTTGCGCTTGGGCAATGACGCAGCTTATGAGTTTCTAACCGAGGCGCGTCTATTGTTGGTTGAAAACTATTTCCAAACCCCCTCTTCGGCCTTGGCCGTCGAGAATTTCTGGAAGGGCTCCCTCCGGGGTAAAGCCCTTTAAAAAAAATAAAAAGGTAGAATGATGTTACAAATGATTGCAATATATTCACTCGCTACCAAAAGATACAAAAAGGGGACACATTTACAATTAATATATTTTTTTTCATAATATGTATCCGTTATCCGAAAATAATTAATATATTGGTTAATCACTTTTTGTTGTTCAAACTCCAAAGAATCAAAGTCAACTTTTGATTTTGACGACCCTGTTTGATTGCATTGCACGTCGTGGAGGGATTATTTAACACTAAGTCTTCGATATTTTAAAGGACAACTATCGCCTTTTATTAGTTCTTCAATTCTATTTAAGGGAGGGGGTAAAGAAACAGAGTTGCCATAAAGCAAGAGAGATGGAAACCGCAAAAGCAGATATAGTTTCCAGGGAATTGATCAAACCTTCATCTCCGACTCCGAATGAGAGAAAACAGCTTAAACAGTCCTTGCTTGATCAATTTGCTCCAGAATTATATATTCGTCTCGTTTTTTTCTATCAAAATCAGTCCCCAACTTACCCATCTGATCCTTCCCAAAATACTTTGCATCTAAAGAAATCATTATCAGAGTGTTTAACCAAGTTTTACCCTTTAGCAGGGAAGCTGAGTGAAGATCATCTCTCAATTGATTGTGATGACTCTGGAGCTCTGTTCGTAGAAGCTAAGGTTGATGCTCCGCTGTTTCAAGCTGTCCACAGTGCTCCCTACGAAAGTTTCCGGCAATATCTGCCGTTTGACCCGTTTCCTCCTGAGATGTTTCCTAGAAATGAAATATTGCTAGCAGTTCAAATCAACTGGTTTGAATGTGGAGGTTCTGCAATTGGAGTTTGCATCTCCCACAAAGTAGCCGATTTCGCGTCCTTGGTAACGTTCATGAATTCATGGGCTGCCATAAACCGGGGCGAAAGTATCAAATTTCTACCGGATTTCGATATCGGAAGGAATCTTTTTCCTCCACGGGATGTCCCTTTTAAGCTTCCTCCAAGTGAATTGAAAGGGAAACTCGTGGGGAAGCGTTTTTTGTTCACCAAAGAAAAGCTCATGGAATTAAAAGATCTGGCAATTTCTTCATCATCGGTGAAGGACCCATCTCGAGTTGAAGTTGTTACAGCTTTCCTGGTGAACCAACTCATCAAAGTGGCAAGATCTAAGAAGAATAGTGATCAGGGAGAAGCGACTAAAATAAAGTTCTTGCAATCGGTGAACTTGAGGAGCAAAATTAGCAGCCTGAAGCAGGCTTCTAAAAAGAATGAGTTTCAATTTGGGAACGTTGTAGCCGTCGCAATTGCTTCATTTAGTACACCTGATGATAATGAAACTCAAGAAGGTTTCAGAGACGATCATTATTGTGATTTGGTTTCTCTGGCGAGGAGCTCGATTAGGAAAGTCGATGACGATTATGTTTGGAATTTCTTGGTTCCCTTTATGAATAACATGGGTACTGGTAGTACTTCTGGGACAAATCAACAACAACAACAACCAGAGATGATGATGCCTTTTACCAGTTGGTGTAGATCTTCGACGTATGAAGCTGATTTTGGTTGGGGAAAACCGCTGTCAGTTGTACCTGCCGGAGATCCATCGATTCCGACGACAATGTTAACCAGCACAGAGAATGAGGATGTGATAGAAGCTAGGATTGCCATGTTAGAAGACGAATTTGCGCTGTTCTCGGACGAGCTTCTTTCCCTTGAACTCACTGGTCTTCATTTCTAGGTGGGTCAGTTGTGATTGTTAAACGGTAAAATTAGAGAAATTGAACCCCCAAGTTGGTACAGATTTCCGATTTCTGAAATGGATTGTGGTTGGGATGATGTTAACGAGCATTCCAAATATGAAGATGGAATTGCAGCATGGATTTATACAGAGTAGAAGATGAAACTGTGTTTGCTTCCGGACGAGGTTCTTTCTCTCGAAGTGGCCAATTGTTTTGACCTATAGAATGATGATCTATCATAGGAAAATCGGTGATTTTGGTTGGTTTATTAGCTTCAAATTTCATCTTGCAGTTCAGCATTTCATCAATTTCATTATATTGGTGTTCAGTATTTTTTGTGCCATAGTACTCTCTCTGACCCAAAAAGAAAGAACATGTTTGTTATATTCAAAAAAATACTACTAGTACTATATAAGAATTATGATTTTTATTTTTCTTAGGATGAATGGATGATGGGTTGAGGTTCTACTCAATGAAAGTTGTTACATACTCTAATGGATTTGTATAATACTAAATGGTCAGGTAGTCGGTGAAGATTACTGGCCTTACATTTGGATTAATTGGATGGACTTGGATTAGTTGACCTAACATATAAAGCCAATTGAATTAATTTATCTTAAAGAATCATTGCATTGAATACGTAGAAATAAAAATGCTTTTAGGTTCGAGCAGCCAGAATAAATGACTCTAAAGATTCTATGGATCATGGATGTTGAGAAACTCTTGTAATTAAATTAAGAAAGTAATGCAGATTTTTTTTCCCCCTACCCTACTTCTGTCCAAAAAAAAACAAAACAATTTGCTCTACGGTTTTAAATTTAACTTCAGAAGAGTTTTTTTTTTTTTTTTTAAAAGAAAAAAAGGGTACCTGCTTCTATTAATTAAGTAAGGGCAAACTACAATCCCCCCGAGTTATAGCCTCAGAACGAATAAAACCCCGAGTTTTGGTCATATTACAATTACCTCCCTGAGTCCTTGATCATCTAACCGATGAACCTTTGCTCATCAGAAAATGAATACACCACGCTGATGTCAGCAAACCTTAGGTGCAAGCTGAAGAATATACCCTTCTGTTAGAAGGGTCCTACTTTTTTTCCCATGTACTGCCCCTTTGTTTTTTTTACTTTCTAAAATTTCAAACATCAAATAAAAAAAAAAGAAAGAAAAAGAAACATGTCCTTTTCCTGCTTTATTTTTCCCATCAAAATAATTGTCCAGAAAATTTTTTCATCGTCACCTCCACCAATGACCAAAAATTCTTTTATCATCAACAACAATCAAAATCCAACCCTCGAAAAAAGTTAGATATGCTCAAACAACCAATATTCATCTTCCATCCGTTCTAATCACTTTCTGGCAGTTTGAAATAGAATAAGACACCATTCACAACCAAAAAAATAGGAAAAAAATCTGATTCAATTTTTATTTTTCTTCTCCTAGCCGGAAACGAATAAAAGAAAAGAAGAAAAAACTCAACCCGCCATTCCGAGATTTGAATTAATCCAAGCCAAATGATAATCGGCTATCAGAAAGTTTCGAATGCTCCATCTCGAGTAACCCATTGTAAACCTTTTTATCACCATCACGGGCTCAATCTCTCTTTATTAGCAAAGAAGCTGTTGAACATGAGGAAGTGATGCGTCTATGGCATCAACGGAAAAAAAAAATCTGCATTAAGTCTGGGTAGAAACAAAATCATTGACTTTAAATTAAACTAGCCCATCCGTTTTTAGAAATTTACGAGAAAAGGGCTAAAGATTGAGGCCTAGAGGGGCCGGAAAAGATGACGATGGCAGAAAGTTGGAGAAGATGGGAGTCCGGCGGCAACGACGGCTGTTTTGGAGGTGGATTGAATTTATAGATAGTTTTGACATTTAGGGTTGTAAGTAGAGAGGAAAAGGGATAGTTTTGTCATTAAACATTTATCACAATATTTCCCTTTTTTATAATTTTTTCTCAGCCACATTTGCCGTGGGTTTTTGGACATTTAACTATTTTCCGGCATTGACTCAAAGTATAACCCTGTCAAGGGGAGTAATTGTAGTATGACCAAAACTCAAGGGTGTATATGTTATGAAATCATAACTCGGGGGATAAAATGTAGTTCGCCCATTAAGTAAAGTCTAAACTATTACATTTAGCTAAATTATAAGCTATATTATGCATCTCAAATACTACTTCTCTGGGAACTTTAGTTATACTAAATGAGATGAAAACCTTCAAAATAGTACTGATCTCAGCAATTAATTCCTGGACTTCAACCGGTGATTGAGTAGGAATTAATTTATTTGCAAGAATTCACAATCTGTGAGCACCTGAATGTGCTGAACATCCAGCATTGCGGCTTCTTGTAAGGCATAAAACAGAGTCTGTGCTTCTGCTTGTAGAGGAGTAAGTGCAGCGAATTTCGAGATTTAATTTGCTGGATCATCCCCTGGTGCATGACGATTTTCCATGCCCCGGCCGCTTGCATTGTCGTCGGAAAGAAAGAGCCATCTAGAATGATTGTATGACAATGTGTGGACATGCTGAAATCATCCATACCTACTATGTCCTCTGTTCGGATAAAGTTGTCCCCAGTGCTTTTCCTGTCTTTCCTGCAAATATTGAGATGTATATTGAAGTCTTTTTTGACTGTGTTCCACATCCTGAGACAATCATCATGTTGATCTCCCTATTGTTGGCGCCAAATTTTGTTGTTCCGCTCCTTCCAGATCTCCCATAGAACAAATATTGATAGCTCAATTGCTTTTTCATCAGGAGTTGCCTTAAGCCATTCTAGAGACCATTCTTTGAAGGGATGGCTTGACCTCTATCGAAATTAAAGCCTAAGTTCGTAATTCTCCACAATCTCTTGGATGATGCACATTCCAAGAATAAGTGAGAAGTATCTTCCGGTTGCAATTGGCATCTTGGACATAGATCCTCTTCTGTTACCCCTCTCTTTAGTAGCCCTTTTTTTGTTGGAAGTGCATTATGAATACTCCGACACGCAAAAAGTTTCATTTTTGGCGGTGTCTTGGTTTTCCACAGTCTTTTCCATGCAGCCTTCTCCTGATTTATGTCTACAATGTCCAATGGATGTTCTTATTGTAAGCTGCCTTGTAGCCTGATTTGACGGTATACATACCATGCTCCGTTTCTGTCGAAAGTAATCTCTCATCCTGTCTTCTCAGTGCTGGATCAACGTGAATTCCTTGTATGAAAGGCAATAGAGTTGGCGGGAAGATCTTTCTGAGCAGCGATATTTTCTAGGATCCATTATCATTTAGCAAGTTAACAACTCTTAGATCAGTGTTGGTTGCCAGGATAGAATCCCTAGCAATTGGATTGTCCCTTCATGGGATCTAGTTATCACTAATCTTTATATTGTTTCCAGAAATAACTTTCCATTTGATCTTTTTTTTCAGCAGCTCATATTCCCATAGAATACTTCTGAATCCCCATGACATGGATGTATCTTGATCAGGGACTGTAAAGCTTCTTCCTTTGCAATATTTGCCTCTGAAAAAACGAGAGATAAGTGAGTTTGGAGCTGATAGTATTTTCCACGCATGTTTTGCTAGTAGAGCTTGATTGAATTCCTCCGTCGATTTTAGGCCTAAACCTCCATGCAATGTAGATTTCCAAACTTTGTCCCAAGATCTCTAGTGTATACCTCTATTCTCTCTATCCCCGCACCACATGAATTTACCTAAAATCTGGCTTGCCTTTTTTAGGGTATCTTTTGGCAACTTAAAAACACCCATAGGATAGACCAGCATTGAAGAGAGTGTCGACTTTGCTAATGTGATTCTACCTGGCAGGGATAGAAGCTTAGTCTTCCAATCTCCCAATTTGTTACTCAGCTTACTTATAAATTGTGCAAATATGATTCTCTTTTTTTCTTCAAAATCCAGACTCATCCCAAGATAATTGCTCTGAAAGTCAGTAGACTGAATGCCAAGTGTCTGATGTAGAAGCTCCTTCTGCTCTTGTGGGGTGTTGTAGCTCAGCAAAATTGAAGACTTGCTGTGGTTTATTTTTTGACCAGACAGTCTGGCATATTGAGAGATCAGATGTGCCAATGCTTTGACTAATGATTCCTTACATTCTAGAAAGAACAAGCTGTCATCTGCATACATCAAATGACTTATTCTCAGAGCAACATTACTAATCTTTATTCCTAGTCTTGGCAATTTTCTAATTTCCGCTCTTATTGTCGATGATAATACCTATTGACAAAGAATAAATAAGTATGGCGAGAGAGGGCAACCCTGTCTAAGCCCTCTATTTGGCTAGAAATATGCTGAATTCTCCCCATTGAATAGGATGGAACAGGATACTGTGGTGACACAACGCATAATCAGTCGTATTAATCTGATAGGAAAACCCAATTTGATTAAAACTTCTCTGAGAAAGCTCCATGATACTCGATCATATGCTTTACTCATGTCCACTTTGATTGCTGCCGCTCCTATTTTGCCTTTCCTTTTTTTGATGTATTCCACCACTTCATGTGCAATCAGGATGTTTTCACTTATATTCCTTTCTGGCACGAATCCATTTTGATGATCATCTATCAGATCATTCATGATAGACTTGAGTCTGGTTGTGATCATCTTCGTTATTATTTTGTACTTTACATTACAAAGGCTGATTGGTCTGAAGTCATTTGGTGTTGATGGATTTGCTGTCTTTGGTATTGGAACCAGGTTGGTCTGATTCCACTCCCCTGGAAATTCCTCATTTTGTGTCGCATCCAGTATGGCTTGAACTACCTCCGTTTTGATTTATTTCCAATACGCTTGGTAGAATCCCGCTGGCATACCATCCGAGCCTGGTTATTTCCACGGTGCCATTTGCTTGATTGCTTCCCAGATTTCTTCTTCTGTGAAAGGGTTCGCCAGGAATTGTTGTTGTTCATGTGATAAGATTTCCTTTATTGTGTCCAGCAAATCACCTACATTCAAGTCCTCTCTTCCTGAAACATACATTTCATTAGGAGTAGTATATATATCAGAAAAATGTTGATCAATTTGGTGCCTTATTTGATCCTGATCATGTATCCAATTTCCCTCTTGGTCCAGCAACTCTGTTATGCATTTTTCCCCTTCTTTCTGTATGCCCATTTATTGAATAACTTTGTGTTTTTGTCCCCTTGTAAAGGCCAGATTAGTTTGGATCTTTGTCTCCAGTAGTCTTCCTGCATCACACGAGCCTGTTCCATTGCTTGCTAATTTTTCATGTGCCTGTGGTTGATTCTTGTGCTCCTCCCAGTATTGTTGTTGGAGCTCGATCTCATTAAACAGTTTCTGCACATATTTATCAATATCATTAAAACTTTCTTTACTGCAGTTGTATGGTTATTGTAAGCATCTACTCAATTTGAAGGACATTCTCCTTTGTAGATCTGGATCCTCTTGTGGATTCTGTTGCCAATGCTGATTAATAATCTGTTTTGCCTTATCACATCACACCCAGAATTGTTCAAACATTCTTCCATGCCTTCTCTTATTTTTTGGCTCTTTCAATTCCACTAAGATGGGGCCCTGGTCAGACTTCAGGATAGGTAGATTCCTG